ATCCATTGGGAATTACGCAGCACTTTAAGATTTGCAAAATGACTTACATGTTAGTTCATTTGATCTCACAACAACCCTGTGAGATAGTTGCTATTATTATTTCCATCATACAGATGAGGAAACTGAGGGTGAGAGAGGCTAAGTGACTTGCCTGGGCATGTAAAATGTCTAAGATAAGATTTGAACTCAGGTCTTACTCTACTGTGCCACCTAGCTGTGCAATGACCTAGAAGCAAAGGGAGAAGAAGATCAAGAAAGGGAGGATTGGCCACACTGCTGTTGGCTAAAAGTAATTATTGAAACCGTGAAAATGGATGAGCTCACCAATGGAAATTACAGAGAGAGAAAAGAAGAGGGTCAAAGATAGACCCTTAGGGATACCCATATTTTAGATCTGGGAAAAGAATTAGGGACCTGCAAAGGAGATAGAGAAGGTTGGAGTAGAAACCATGAAAGTACAATGTCCCAGAAGCTAAGGGAGGGGGTTGAAGAAGAGGCAGGCAATGTAAAATTTTGCAGAGAGGTAAAGGAGGATACAGAGAGAAGAAAGTTCATTGGATTTAGTGATAATGGACATTATTAATGACCTTGGAGAGATGTTTTTGGTATAGCAGAGGCAATGAAAGTGAGATTGCAAGAGATTAAGTTTTGAGTAGAAACCATTTGTTTTGTCTACACTTTCTGGAAGTTTGGCGTTGAAGAAAGAGAGGATGATAACTTGATGGGATGTCAGGATAAGGAGGGACTTTTATTACCATTATTATTATTTAAAGTTTAATTGATGATATTTGTTTTTACACCAGTCATTTCTGGATATCTCACTCAGCCACCCCTTCCCCTCCACCTAGTGAGCCTTCCTTTGTAGCAGAAAGTTAGATAAAACCAACTAAAGATAATGACCATGTCTGACTGTATGTACAACATTATGCATCCATTTGACTTCCCCCTTTTTTTTTAGAAAGGGAATAAACTGTCAATCCTCAAGCATTTATTAAGCAACTACCATGTGCCAGGTGCTGTACTAAGTGCTAGAAATGGAAAAGAAGGCTAAAATCAGTCCATGCTTTCAAAGAGAACAGTCTAATGTGGGAGACAACATGTGAACAATTATGTACAAACAAGATAAAAACAGGTTAAATATACAGCATAAATTTAGAGGGAAGGGACTAAGATCAAGGGAGAATCAGAAAGATTTCATGTATAAGGTGGTACTTTAAAGCTGGGACTGAAGGAAGTCAATGAGTACATTTCATCATCTCTTCCAGTTTAGTTTTGTTTTAGTATTTTTTCATCTACATAATTGTAATCATTATATATATCATTTTCCTAATTCTATGTACTTCATTCTGCATCAATTCATACAGATTCAAGGAAAGGATTTTTATAGAATGGTTATGCATCTTTGTATACTAAGAGTGTAGGTGAAGGAGCTGAAAGAGAGGATTATAGCCTGAGGGAGTGGCTTGGGCAGTTTTGAGAAATGATAAACTTTTTATTCACTGAAAATTCTAAAACATTTACTGTTAAGTTCTAAGAGTAGAATTGGTGTGGATTTTAGAAATGGTATACATGGCTTTGATTATGCTCAATTACTTTGGGCATGTGAGCATGGAATCACCCTGTGCTGAGACTTTCATCTACCTATATTCTTCACTAGGCAAAACTTTGACCACATAGATGTTTTATACTGTCCTATTTTTCAAGATACACTTTTGAGAAAATTTCATTGTATTCCTTGTTATCCTATTCCAGTTTTATGTAAGATTTATGAGAGCTGTCTTACTGCACTCTGACATTTTATAAAAGATGCAGACAAAAAAATGTATTTGGGGAATAGGATCTCATACAACTTATGGTATTTGAGAGTATAACAATTTACCTTAGGCTGGAGATTCACCTCCCTAAAGTTTATTTGGCAAAGCTTTTATTGCTTACAATCACCCATGATTTTGTTAGTATAAATGTAAGCTGAAGTTTAATAGATCTGAACCAGTGAGATATAGGAAAATCTGGGTTCAAATTCAGCCTGTAGCTCATTCTGGCTCTATTATGTTGGGCAGGTTACTTTACCTATGTCTGTAAGTTGCAGAATAGTTGCTGAAATCATTGGTACTTTTTCCCCTCCTTGCTGTACTTTTTCTTCCCCAGTAGGAATTGATTCCCCTTTTGTAAACAAACAAGTCTTGAGAACAGTTTTACCAGACTAATAAACATGGAATGTTGTAGCTAACCTCCTCCTACTTTCTTTCTTGTCCTTCCTTAAAATACACAGCAAGATCCAATAAAATCCCTACCATGAGAATTCCTCATGTTTGACCATGTCATTGTCCTGAACAAAAAGTTACTTTTCCATGGACTTTAGGATAAAGGCATTTATTATGCACCTTTTCTATTCCTGCTGTGTTACTAAGCACTAGGATCACAAAGGAAGAAAAATCAAACAATTCTTTTCCTCAAAAGCTAACATTCTTTTTTTCTTGGGGGGGGAGGGGAATGCAACATGTACATGTATAAGTAAATAGAACATATACACATAATAGATGTAGAGTAATTTTTTGACGGAGTGAAAGGCACTAGCTGGTGGAGAGATTCGAAGAGACTTTCCATAGAAGGTGGTACTTGAGCTATGCTTTTTTTTTTTTTTTTGTAAGGCAATTGGGGTTAAATGACTTGCCCAGAGTCATACAGCTAGTAAGTGTTAGGTGTCTGAGGCCGGATTTGAACTCAGGTCCTCCTGAATCCAGGGCCAGTGCTCTATCCACTGCGCCACCTAGCTGCCCCTAAGCTATGCTTTTCTATAAAGTAAGATGGGAGTGTATTCTAGGCATGAAGGACAGCCTGTGCAAAGTCACAAATAGGAGGTGAAATGATAACAATAGTAGAGAGCATTTATATAAAGCTTTGAGTTTTGCTAATTGCCCTACAAATATTATCTCATTTTATCCTCACAACAACCCTGGAAGTAGGTGCTACTTTTTTTATCCCCATTTTACAGATGAGGAAACTGAGGTAGATACAAGTAAAGTGACTTGCCCAGGGTCATATAGCTAATAAGTATCTGAGGCTGCATTTGAACTAAAGTCTTCCTAACTACAGGTTCATTGCCCTGTTGTGTATCAGTAACAGCAAGTAGGTCCAATTAGGGGCCATAGCTACATGAATAGAAGTAATGTGTAATAAGCCTTGAAACTAAATATAGTTATAGTTAACTTAGCACTTCGCTCTAAAATGCTTTGCTTGTATTATTTTAAGATCTCCTTTCATATAATGCTTAAGTATCTGATAAAAAAAATGAACACAACACATATGATGTGTGAATTTATAACTTGAGTGTAAGAGCTAATGGAAAATGTTAAATGTTCAGAGATATTCATGTCACATAAGACCTATCAGCATGGAAATAGGAGGTCATTTAGAATAGTTTGCTGCTCTATGTGTTCACAGCACTTTCACGATTGGAAGCCATCTCCACCCTTTTCCTGTGGAATCCATGTTTATCTGGGTTTTTTCTGCCCTTTTTTCTTCCATTTTGCACACGTCATACACTGCATTATCTCTAGGTAGATGGTGTTAACCTGCCTATTGGAATCTTTGTAATTGGGCAGATTCAGGGCAGAACTATGTAGATAGAAAGGCTCTAATATTTTTGGAAGTTTTTCCTCTTTGGAGGAAAGTTAAGTGTGTGTGTGTGTGTGTGTGTGTGTGTGTGTGTGTGTGTGTGTGTGTATTGCAAGCAGAATCATATTTTTTAAAGCTGGAAGACATGAGGAGAAGAGAAGTCTTAGGGGAGCACGATAGCTGTCCTCAAAGCTTTGAAGGGCTGTCACATGGAAGAGAAATTAGACTTGGTCTGTTTGGCCTCAGAGGACAAGACTAACAGTGGGTCAGCATTGTAGAGAGGCAAATTTAGGCTTGATGAAAGGTGAAAAATCTTAGCCTAAAGGGAATGGGCCAAAATAGGAAGTTGTGATTGCCTTCTCATTGTGGAGAAGCATTCAAGCAAAGGCCAGATGACCACTTGTCAGTATGCTGTTGAGGCCATCAGGTTTTGGCTTGAATGATGTCTGAGGGCCCTCATAACTTGAAAGTTCTGTGACTTTAAAGATCTTCTGATTCATCCCCTACATTATGTAGGTTAGATAATTGAGATAAAAGAATTGAAGTGGCTTGCTTAAGTGCTGTTGCTTTAGCCAGAGTTAGTGGCAGAGTTAGACTGTTAATTTGAAAATATGCAAGCCAGTACAGTTCTAAAATAGTAGATTTGTTGTTCTGAGAAAAAAAAAGAAGTGTGTGTTTCAAGGGTGCAGAGTTTAATAAATGTGAATAAGAAATTTAGCAATATTTACAGTGTTTTGTATTAGAAATGAAAGATTCTTTCTTATTTTTGTCTCTGGTTCTCCCTCTCCATCTCCCTTTCCATCTCCCTCTTCCTATCCCTCTGCCTGTCCTTATCCCTGCCTCTGTCTCTCTCCCTCTCCCTCTCCCTCTCCCTCTCCCTCTCCCTCTCCCTCTCCCTCTCCCTCTCCCTGTTTTCTGTCTCTTTTTCTATCTCTCCTTTCCTCCCTCTATTTCTCTATCTCTGTCTGTCTCTACCTCTCTCTGTTTCTCTGTCTCTATCTCTCCCTTTTTCCCTCTGTCTGTTTCTCATTCTCTCCTCCCTTCCTCTTCTACTCTCTCTACCTTCTTTTTTTTTTCATTTTTCCAAACAGTGTCCCTGTGGGGATATGGAAAGCATTTTGTACTTATGGGTAAACAGAGGCCCAGAAGGTGTAGGGTGTGCTTCTAATGATGTTAATGATAGTATATGTAACTAGATCTGATGTTAAATATGGAACATCTTTTGAAAAGTGGCTTCATTAATAATATATAATGGAGAAAGTTTGGGGAATTTTTCAGTTCTGCAGAAGGGTAGAATCCTGTCACCAAAGAATAATAGCTTTTTTATTAACATTGAGGTCTTTTACATTTTTAAACATTGTACTATGTATGTTTTCTTTCAGATTAGTAAAGAAGAAAAGCAGCTCCACTCTCAGGATATTCTTGATTCATCTGTGCCTTTAAGTGGAAACAAGTATGAATTAGATGCTGTTTATAAGGTGAGAAAATTGTTTGAATGTTTCCTAGGATTTTTGTAACTCTTAAGTTAGGGTAGTTGTGGGGAAGTTGATGATTTTCCCTTTAGTGTTTTTGGATGTCTCACCCTGAATTGGTACAATATTCTAATTTGATTGTGGTTCTAAGGTTTGCTACTACAACTCATTTTGTTTTTCAGTATTTTTGTTTTTATAGTAATACCTCGGTGATTGGAGGGGGAGAGTTTATTCATAGGGTAAAGTATGACTTTTTGAATCCTGGAAAAGAAGTACATTTTACTACTTACATGCATATACAACTTCCAGATTCTGGCTGACGAAATGTTGTTGAGGACAATTAACCAAGAGCACTTAATGAAGACAAAGTTGTGATATATAAATAATATGTCAGTTGTTGGAAGTTTTTTTCCTCTTAAGTTAATGAAGCCTACCTTTTTAGTCTTGTTATTGTGATATTACTTTATTTAGCCCATTCGTTTTTCATAGCAACAATAAAGATAATATTTTAAAAAGAAAGCTAAATAAAAATGTGGGAGGACTGACACAGCTGGGTAGTAGATAAAATACTGGAGCTGGAGTCAGGAAAACAGAGTTCAAATCTAGCTCCAGACATTTACTACCTGTGTGACCCTGGACAAGTCACTTAACCTCTGTCTGCTTTGATTTTCTCATGTATAAAATGGGGATAATAATAGTGCCTACCTTCCTGGATTGTTGTGAAGATCACATGAGATAATATTTGTAAAGCACTTTGCAAACCTTAAAGTGCTGTATAAATGTTCACTGTGGTTTTTTCTCTGTTGTCCCTTGGGCAATCTTAGAAACACATTCTCAGATATAAACCTTATTAGCCTATTCTGGCTATGGTTCTCAAAATAGCTGTCACCCCTAGCAGTCTGACCAGCTCAGGTCATTTCTCTAATTCTATCCTGCTACTTACAGAGACACATTCAAGTCAAGTCAACAAGCATTTATTAAGGGCCTCCCATTGCTAGGTATTGTGTCTCATAGACTAGTGAAACTCTTACCCCGGGTCCCCACTTTTTTTTCCTCCCTTTCCCTTTCCCTTTCCCTTTATCATCAGAGGATGCAGAAATTAAGGACACATGTTACAAAATTGAATCCAGTTAATGGTTGGAGTCAATGGACAGACTTCCAGTGTCTTTATCTGTCCTCCCAGGGAAGCTTGTCCCAGGTCTAAATAAAAGTATGCCATGTAAATTAATGGTCTTTTCAAGTCAGAGAAGCAATAATCACTCCATGCCCCTCCAGATTACTTTTATCTCTGAAAGCTAGATGTTGCATCAGCCCAGAGGTTGCTCAGCAATTGTCAAAACAAGATGAATTAGAAAGGCATGTAGGTGGAACAGTGGATCAAGCCCTGCTAGACTCAGGAAGATTCATCTTCCTGAGTTCAAATCTGGCCTCAGACACTTACCAATTGTGTGACCTTGGGCAAGTCACCCAACCTGTTTGCCTCAGTTTCCTCATCTGTAAAATGAACTGGCAAAGGAAATGGCAAACCTCTTCAGCATCTTTGTCACAAAAATCCTAAATGGAGTCATGAAGAGTTGAACCTGACTGAAATGGCTAAACAACAATATGAATTAGGGATAGTCTTTGAACTTTTTCTTTCTTTCCCATTTTATGATTTTTTTTTTTAGGACTTCATCATTCAGCCATATTTTCTGTTCTCACATAATTAAATTCATACCATGCCTACTGCCCTTGCAGTATTTCTTCACATAACATTTATATAAAACAATGGGTTCTTTGTGGAGTTTGTAGGAGGGCCTGGCCAAAACCCATTAAACAGACCTTCTAATATTTGAAGATACTAATCATGCATGCTTACATTATTGTCCCATTAGGTTTTTTTTTTTTGTCCTTTGACTTAAATATCCCTGGTTCTGTCATTCAATCCTGGGATGATCTTGTTTTAAAAAAATTTTTTCCCGCAATTATATTTAAAAACAATTTTTAACATTCATTAAAAATTTTTTTTTTGAGTTCCAAATTCTCTTCCTTCCTTTCTACTCACCCCTCCCCCCACATTGAGAAAGCAAGCAATTGATATAAGTTATACATGTACAGACATGCAAAACATATTTCATGTTAGTCATTTTGTGAAAGAAGACACAGACAAAAAAAAAACCTAAGAAAAATAAAGAAATAGTATGCTTCAATCTGAATTCAGACTCCATCAGTTTCTTTCTCTGGAGATGGGTAGCATTTTTATCATAAATCCATCAGAATTGTCTTGGATTATTGTATTGCTGAGAATAGCTAAGCCATTCATAGTTGATCATCATACAATATTGCTGTCACTATATATAATGTTCTCTTGGTTTTGCTCATTTCACTTTGCATCAGTTTATTTAAGCCTTTCCAGGTTTTTCTGAGAGCATATTGCTCGTCATTTCTTATAGCATAATAGTATCCCATCACAATCGTATATGACAACTTGTTCAGCCATTCCCCAATTGATGGACATCCCCTTAATTTCCAAATCTTTGCCACCACTAAAAGAGCTGTTATAAATGGTTTTGTACATGTAAGTCCTTTTCCTTTTTGTTTTTTCATCTTTGGGAAACAGACCCCCATAGTGGTATTTCTGGGTCAAAAGGTATGCATGGCTTTGGATATAGTTCCAAATTGCTCTACAGAATGACTGAATCAGTTCACAACTCTAGCAGCAATGCATTAGTGTCTTAATTTTCCCACATCCCTTCCAACATTTGTCATTTTCCTTTTTTGTCGCATTAGCCAATCTATTAGGTGTGGGGTGGTAGCTTAGAGTTGCTTTAATTTGCATTTCTCTAATAGTGATTTAGAGCATTTTTTTCATATGACTGGAGAGCTTCTTGAAAACTGTCCATATCCTTTGACCATTTATCGCTTGAGTAATGGCTCTTATTTCTATAAATTTGGCTCATTTTTCTATGTATTTGAGAAATGAAATCTTTATCAGAGAAACTTGCTCTAAATTTTTTTCAGTTATGATTACTATGTATTTCCCATATCCTGTTTCCTCCCTGTTTATCTTATTCTCTCTCCTTTCACTCTGTCCATTCTCAAAAGTATTTTGCTTTTGACTTTACCTCCCCCAATCCACCTTTCCTTCTTTCACAACCCTTTCCCTCCTGCTTTCCTGTATGGTAAGATAGATTTCTATATCCAGCTGAGTGTGTATATTATTCCTTCCTTAAGCTTATTCTGATGAGAATAAGTTTCACAAACCTCCTTCTCCCCTGTCTTCCCCTCCACCATAAAAACTCTTTTGTGCCTCTTTTATGTCAGATAATTTATGCCATTCTACCTTTTCCTTTCCTCTTCTCCCAATGCATTCCTTTTTCTCACCCTTTAATTTAATTTTTTAAGAGAATCAGACCATCATATTCAACTCACACTTGTGCACTCTATGCATACTCCTTGTAACTTCCTTAATAATGAGAAAGTTTTTAGGAGTTACAAGTATCATTTTCCCATGTAAGTTTAACCTTATTGAATCTCTTATGATTTGTCCTTTCTGTTTACCTTTTTATGCTTCTCTTGAATCTTGTATTTGAAAGTCAAATTTTCTATTCAGCTCTGGTCTTTTTATCAGTAATGCTTTAAAGTCCTCCATTTCATTGAATGTCCATTTTTCTCCCGAAGGATTATGCTCAGTTTTGCTGGTTAGGTGATTCTTGGTTATAATCTTAGCTCTTTTGCCCTTTGGAATATCATATTCCAAGTCCTCTACTCCTTTACCGTAGAAACTGTCAATCTTGTATTATCCTGACTCTGGATCCATAATATTTGAATTGTTTCTTTCTGGCTGACGTAATTGATGTCTTCATCTAGTATTCGTTCCACTCTATATCATGGGAAGGAAAACAAGTATTTTCTTTATAAAACTATAAGATGTTGTTGTTAAGTCATTTTTCAGTCATGTCTGATTCTCTGTGACCCCATTTGGGTTTTTCTTGGCAGAGATACTGGAGTGTTTTACCATTTCCTTCTCCGGTTCATTTTACAGTTGAGGAACTGAGGTTAAGTGACTTGCCCAGGGTCACACAGCTAATAAGTGTATGAGGCAGGATTTGAACTTACCTAGTTTCAAGCCCAGTGCTCTATCTACTGCACTACCTAGCTGATCTACTATCAGGCATAAACCTAGTCAAATTACATTAGACAATGAATTGTCTGGTTCTGTGGTACCTCTCCAGTTTTGGAAGGTCTAGCAAACAGCTTATACTTTGATCTGGACCAAGAATATTCTTCCCTGCAGCCTTCAAAAGGCTCAAGTAACAGTTGAACTTAGCTTAGACAAAGTAAACCTCTGTATCTTTGTAGTTTTTTTTTTGGGTTAAAAAAAAGGCACTTATTCATATATATTGACTTTTAATTCAAACCTTTATATTCTATATGCACCTTTTAAAAAATATCATTATTAAGGATCAAGACATATAAAATTGTTGATGTGCTTTGGCCCTTTATTTCTCGGGAAACTTTTTTACAGGATGCTCCAGAAAAACTTAAGAAATGAAGTATGGCCCCAATGTGCCAATAGTTTTAAATAAGGCAAACTTTTTTTTTTTTTGGCCAGGGGGCAGAAGAGGAGAAGGAGGTCAGGTCTCCAGAGCAGAAATCAAAGTACTTTGCCAATATTATCCTTATTTGAAAGATCTAAAACCTCTAAGTTAGAAAGTAGTTTTCAGATCTGTCAAGTGAAGTTTGTCCGAGTTTGTCATTTATAAATGTTTTAACTCTTATCTATATCTTGAAAGGTCTGATCTTTGTATAATTTTGCGGGAGAGTGGAAGAAGAAGGAGGGACCCTCTTTACATTTCATCTTTTGAAGGAGAAAAATTCCTTCTAACTCTGGAAAATCTTACATCTTGTTTTATTCACCTGAGTCCTTTTGTGTTGTATTTTCTAATATTTCTGTCTGCTTATACAAGATTTAAAGTCAAATAATATAATAATGATATACTAAATAAGTCACAGAGCATCTCCCTTCCCGAAGTTCTATTTTTGTAACCTAGAAAATCCCAAATGGGGTTATGAAGAGTCAGACACGACCGAACAACAACAAAACTTTTTGGGCAGCACTGGGCCTGGAGTCAGGAAGAGTCAGTTCAAATCTGGCCTCAGACACTTGCTAGCTGTGTGACCCTGGGCAAGTTAATCCTGTTTGCCTCAGTTTCCTCATCTGGAAAATGATGTGGAGAAGGAAATGGCAAACTACTCCAGTATCTTTGCCAAGAAAACCCTAACTGGTGTCACAGAGTTGGACAAGACTGAAACAACTGAACAACAATTGTAGAGCAATAAACAGAGGTGAAAAATTTATTTAATAGAAAAAGTGAACACTAAAATGGTTGTTTCATTATTGACATTTTCTAGTGTTGGTACTCTTTAAATTTTTACAGTGAACAGAGTAAGAGACATTTGGAGGCTACTTATATACTATCTTGATAGTTTTTAGTAGTACATATTTTGTGCACACATTCCACTTGATGCTGTGTAAAATACAGAGTAGGGGACAGTGCTCAGTAGGAAACCTAAAAAGTTGTAGGTTGGTAGAGATTTCACTTTTCAGCTTGGTAAGGTAATGTAGGAGAAAAAGCTGAGATGTAGAGTCAAGCTTGGCCCTGCCACTTATTTGTATGATGTTCAGCAAGTTGCTTCAACTCTTCTCTGAGCCCTGCCTTCATCATCTGTAAAATGAGAATTTGTAATACCTTTGGGAAAGAGGTTATGGGAAGATCAGGTGAGATAATGTCTGTAAAAGTGATAAAAAAAGTAAAGTTCTACAAACAGAAAGCAGTATGATGATAATTGGAATTATAATTATTTTTGTTATTGAGAAGCTGAGTTGCCAGTGTGGTATAGGTATAGAGTCAGTCAATCTAGAAAGACTGACCTCTGATACAGAAAGGTTTTATAACTATGGGCAAGTAAGTCACTTAACCTCTAAGTTTCCCGAACAGCTCTCTGTAACTGAATTGGAAATGAGTTGACACTCGAAATCTCTAGAGGGAGAATCCCCAGCATTAATGAAATCATAAGTCATTGATAAAATAACAGGTTGGGGATTTTCTCCCTATCTTCCAATAAATAATTGTCATGATTATTATGGAGCAGAAGTAAGGCTTTAGTATCTTCTCCCATTCCTAAATACTTGCAATTACTTGCAAACGTGGGACAGCTAGGTGGTACAGTAGAAAGACCTGTGTTAAGATCTGGCCTCAGGCACTTACTAGCTGTGTGACCCTGGGCAAGTCATTTACCCTCTGTGTGTCTCAGTTTCCTCATCTATAAAATAGGGGTAATAATAGCATCTACCTCCCAAAAGTTGTGAGAATCAAATGAGATAATAATTGTAAAGAGCTTAGCACAGTACCTGGAACATACTAAGCACTATATAAATGTTAGCTATTTTATTTAATATAGTCAAGTGTTTTCATATGGTTTATTTGTATTACTCCTCCCCTACCCCATTTCTTTTTCCCATTTTATGCAGTATGACCTTATTCTTTTTCTTTTTCTTCTGGTTTGTTGTGACAGCTGTTATTTCTTAAAGGAAGCACTGTCTAAACGTGAGCTTTATTTAGGTTTAGCACATATGAAAACTGAGCTTGTTACACAATAACCTATTTTTCCTGGTTTTCTACTTCCAGGTTCCTTTTGCTGATGCTTTGGATTTGTTCCGAGGAAGGAAAGTCTATTTGGAGCGTGGCTTTGCGTTTGTGCCACATCAGGATATTGTGTCAATCATCTTGAATGACTTTAGAGCCAAACTGTCCAAGGCTTTGGCAGTAAGTACATTGCTTGTTTTTTTTTCAGAGCTAACCTTGTCTCATCCCCTCTCTGTGATTCCTGTCCTTTTTATTCTGGAATTTAACACAGATCATGCTACAGTTTGGTTATTTAGGAAAACTTAGATGATGACTAGCCTTTGTTGATGGTGCTTAAAAAGAATGAACAAATAAGTTGAATAACCTTATACCAATTGTGAGGATAAATGTAAAGAGCTCAGGAGCACATTTTATCCTTTGCAGGAAAACTAGAGGCTGTTGTCTATTATAAAGATTTTTATAGTTTTTCTAGTAATAAATAAAATGCAGCTCATTGAATTTGTACCCTGGTGGGTTCCTGATGTTTTACTTTTTAAAAAAAAGCTGTATCTATAGATAGAAAAAAACAATATTGACAATAAATCCTTTTTTTAAAATATCAGTTGAAATTTTGCTAATTTCAAAATCCTTGTCTTTTCCAAACTGATTTTGTTTTCCCTAATAGAAGGGGTTCAGATTAATTTGCAAATGTACTCCTGCCACAGAATTGAGTTATGTACATATCTTTTTGTACTTTGGGTAGTACAGAATTTTTAAAATATATCCCAGATTTTAAACTAAACCTGATCATAAGTTTGGAGACTAAAATGAGTGAGGAAGAAAGAGAAAATGTGCTATGTAAAGTGATAAATGAACGCACTAGGGGCTTGCCATTCTGTCATAGGCAGATGTGTCGGCTGTGCCTGGTATGTCCAGACATACCCTAATATTAAAAAAAAATATGATTTTTGTGTCTCATTTTGAAAGTTACATTTTGTTAAATTTAGTTTCTGTAGTTAGATGAATAAAAATAATGTCCTCCATTATTGAGTATTCAGTAAATATTCTCCTTAAACTAAAGAAAATTCCCTAAATGCATAACTTAACAATTAGGGTATGACTGTGAGTTTTGTTTGTTCTAAATAATAGAAAGTGTCGGAGTGTGTGTGTGTGTATGTGTGTAGGGATGGGGTCCTTGCACCTAGTTTGCGCAACTCAGTGCTCCAAATTATACTATTATTGATGTTTTGAGGGCCAAGCACATCTTCTCAGCTGGCTCTGGCAGGAACATGACTGGTATATTGCCATTCTACTGCCAATATAAAGAAACAAACCAGAAACAAGTATGAGGTTCAGATGACTTGGTTTTCCTGTCTGGTCTGGAGTATTTCAGTTGTTAAAGCTTTCATCCCAAGAGGTGATCTCTGCTCTCCTCTATTTTAACTACTTCACTCAGAGAAGTTAAACAGTCAGTGAATGTAGAGGTGCCCACTGGGTAGCAGGGGTACAGAGAAAACTGAGACATGGTCCTTGATCTCAAGTAGTTTTCATTCTATAACTTGACAAGCATATGACAAGTACAGAGGGCTAATAAGTGATAGTACTAGTAAGAGTTACTCTTGCGACTTGGTTTTGATTTGAATCTCAACTGCTTAGTACAGTGCCTGGCACATAGTAGGTGCTTAATAAATGCTTATTTCCTCCTTCCCCTCCATTCCTCCCTCCCTTGCTGTTTTCCTTCCTTCCTTCCTCTCTCCCTCCCTTCCTCTGTCCCTCCCTGCCTCTCTCCCTTCCTCTGTATTTCTTTGTAGTTCCTTTTCTTTTCTTTTCTTTTTTTTTAGGCAATTGGGGTTAAGTGACTTGCCCAGGGTCACACAGCTAGTTAGTGACAAGTGTTTGGTCTGAGGCCGCATTTGAACTCAGGTCCTCCTGACTTCAGGGCTGGTGCTCTATCCACTGCGCCACCTAGCTGCCCCAAAAGTTGTTTGTTTGTTTGTTTGTTTTTTTGGTTGGGCAATGGGGGTTAAGTGACTTGCCCAGGGTCACACAGCTAGTAAGTGTTATGTGTCTGAGGCCAGATTTGAACTTGGGCCCTCCTGAATCCAGGGCTGGTGCTCTATCCACTGCGGCACCTAGCTGCCCCTGTAGTTCCTTTTCTTAACCCGAAGAAGGTCAATATACATTGTAATGTATCTTAAAGTCTTTTACACTGAGTGTTTTACCCTGATCTTTGGTAGAGTACCCTCTAGGATCTTGTTCCTACAGTTTGGAGCTGAAGTCAGAGAGGGTTCTTTCTATTTAATAGTAAAAATGAGTATATGTTGATGGTGTCACAAATAATACAAGGAAAATTGGAGGTAGCTGCATTCAACAAATATGATGAGTAAGATTTTGAAAGGTTCAAAATTAAAACAATTGCTGAAGGTACAATTCTTTAAGCAGTGGCTATTTAAAAATATATACAGTTGTATGATGACCTTGTCTTTTATTCTGTAGGTTAATGTGTGTACTATTTCCACTTCTACTGTTTTATAGAGAGTACTGGAGTGGTCCTATTTTTAAAAATAAAATTCTGATTTATTTTAGAAGAGGCATGTACTGTTTTTTTTAATCTTCCTTTTTCATCACAAACCAAAAATTAAAAAAAAAAACGTTAAAAACATTTATTTCTTGACTGTTTAGTGTAACTTACAGATTTCTGATTGAGTTGCATCATGGTAGTACCCAGAATATTAACTGCTGGTTCTTTTCTTTATTTTCATTAGAATTTTAAGTTGCTTTAATTAGCAGTTGTTGAGTATATTTAAACAGGTTTCACTTTGCAGTTTTCATTTCAACCCAAATTCAGGCAAAACTAATCAGAATTGACTGTGAAAAATGATTCTGTCATCCTTCTGAGCATTTTTTGATCTAACTACTTTTGATTTTACAACTTCTCATCTAGTTCAAATCACAAATAAAGAATGAACTAACTCCTTTTCTTACAAAACTAATGGTGTACAGATTTACTTGAAACTAATTGTATCTAGTTCTTTCCTAAAAGACTGAAGTTTTTTTTTTTTTGCATATGCCTACTATTTTATTTATTCTTAAATTATCTTAAAGAAGAAGATAGGTATGTTTTATTTTTTTCCATGTGAAAAGTTGAGAAAGTAAATGTGTGTCTAGATAAATGTCAGCACATTTGATTTTCAATGGGAAATGGTCTCAGTCTTTGAGAAAAGTGTGTCTAGATTTTCAAGTCAGTAGTATTGGATCATTGAAAATTTCACAGTGACCTCAAAATTCACCTTAGGGTCAAATTTCTGACTTTTTTCTTCCTGTGAAATTATATCATTCTCCCTTAGTGCATCACTAAAGAGCAATTTAAAGGTTTTCAGAGATTACCTGCCAGATCTTGATTTCTATGAACAGAAGGTTCTAGTGTCGTGGTATTTATAAGATAGTCAATAATAGAGGATGTAGGGAGGACAAAAAGAAGCTGAAGATCCAGTTTCAAAAAGTTTTTAGATAATGTTATGAATATAGCTATCTTTCTTACAGTACTTGAGAATTTGAGACTATTTAGGCTACATTCTTAACCTCATTAGGACAGTTGCTATTGTTTTTCACCATCTGTCTTTTCACCACATGTTCTTTGGAAGTATTATTAGAGGGTAGAATACTTAGCCAGGTAGAACATTGGGCTGAACCCAGTGTGGCATTTCTTCAGTTCATATATTGAGCAAATTAATTTGGTTAAATCTGTTGCTAAGCACTAGAAGATGTTAGATTTAATGAGACCATTTTGAACTATTTGGAATGACTCTTGATTAATAGACTCATGTTTATTGTTTGTAGAGGAAATTCCCTTGGCATGGTTGCTGCATTATAATGCTGCAAACTCTAGGGTTATATAATTATGTTAAACAAAGTACCATTTGTAAATGACGTACACAGTTTTGGAGTAAAGTATTGAGTTATTTTTGTATCTGGCACTTTTTTTATGACAAGAGGTGGGAAGAGGCAGGAGTTGGGAGGAAAAAAAAAAGATTTTTTTCTTCATTGACATCTATTTGCATAGGACATGATTCTTATGGTAGATATTTTTACAGCTTATTTGTTATATAGTATTTATTATATTTATTTTTATATTTGATAATAAGTGGGGGGATGAAATCCTTACAAAAAATATCCAGCTCTCATATTTTATCAGTATTGGCACGTGTTTTGTTGTCGTCATATTTTTTTAGTTAGCAAAATTCCGTGACTGTATAATTTGTAAAATCTGTGAAGTACATAGGATGAACATATACCAAATATAAGAAAAGGTTAGTATGGACATCTGCATGCAGTTTTATGGACACTGATAAAGTCTTTGGAAAGACAGGATGAGCCTATAAAAATGAAACACTTAAACAATCAAGGTGGCTTAGTAAAAACTATAATTAGGAGGAAAATGGAAAGAAATTAAATTAAACACTTGTTTGCAAGCTGGATATTCTACGTCTCTCAGTACTTGGATGACCTGTGATTTCATATTTATTTGTGTATATTTTGTGACCAAATATCTGTGTACATGTTTTATCCTTTGATAGAATATAAGTTTCCATGGGACAGAAATAACTTCATTTTTGTTTTTGTATCCCCAGAATAATTCTTGGCACATATACAACTCTAAATAAATGCTTATTTGATTGCCTTAATATGGGTGTTGATCAAAACCAATCCATACTTTCTCATATTCTGAGGTTCTTGCCCAGGTTCTCCCATCAGTTTCTCTAGAGAGTATCTACTCAACCCATTTGGAGACTTCCTCAAGGTCTTTTATTATTTAATGGATACAAGTGCAACACTTGGACTCCCTATCCATTTTCATCCATTCTTAAAATATAATTGCCACTCGCCCCCCCACATTTTTTAAGTTAAATTTTTTTTCTTAAAAATTTTTCCTCTCAAATCTCAGTTGTACCATTTACTATCTTTGTGACCAGGGGTAAGTCACCTTACTTGTCTAGTTTTAATATGCTCACGTGTAAAATGAGGAGATTATATTAGCCTAGATTTAGAGCTGGATGGGCCCTCAGAGGCCACCTAGTCCACCCCTCTCATTTTACAAAATCATTCAGATGCTATATGCCATGACACGAGCTCCTCTGACTCCAGAGCCAGTGCCTTTGCCATTGTGTATATTGTCTCCCACTGCCAGAGGTCATGTAGGT